ATTGAATCCCTTTAGCACCCTTCAACCCCATTATCATTTATTCTTGAACTTAGGGGTCGTTTGGTAGGAGGTATTAGAAAAAATAATGCAAGCACTAGCTCTATGCATTATTAATACCTTGTTTGGTATATTTTTTCAACCTGTGTATAACTAATATTTATATTAGTTATACATCATACTTGGTATTATCCTATGTATAAGTAATGCATAGAAAACCATGACATTAGTAATACCAAGGCTATTAATGCATGCATTAGTATGTGATGTTTTAGACTTCAATACCACATAAGAGGGGAGGGGGGTGATTTGTGTGGTACCCAATTTTTGCTTAACTGAACTATAGAAGGACCCGGTTCTTCTATGTGTTCCAACTACTACTATTTGCGGAATAATAAGTAAAGAAAATAAAGAACATAGAGATTTTTACGTGGAAAACACCTGGCTCAAAAGGTGAAAAAACTACTACCTACTACTTAGTAGGATTTTTCCAAGCTTCCACTAAAATCACTGAGCCAAGACAGCATTTACAAAACTCTTTGTAAACCTAAGAATTAACTCTAATCCCGTTGTGGCACACAACCTCAACTGTTGCGACAACTTCAAGTTAACTCTAACTTGAACACTATAGGTACCTAATACAATTGCTTCTATGAAAGCTGAAAGGTACAATGTAAAATCACCTACTATAGTTGAACTAGAATAAAAGATAGACACTTGGAACTGGTTCTTCTATCTTGTTCAAGTAGCTTCAGGATTGCACGCTTGAATCACACATAAATTGCTTGCAAAATCGCCTTGCTCTTTTGCTCTCAATTTAAGTTTAACTTCTGCTTATGTGCATTACCTGTAAAAGAGAACAAAACTGATATTTAATGGGTTAGTAATTAGAGATTGACTGGGATACAGATGCTACTCTTCTATCATAGAAGAGTTCAAGTTGATCTCATACTCTAACATTATCCTCTTCCTAAACTGTGTTCTCTTCATGTAAGGAGTCATTCTCTCCTTATCCAATATGCAACCTTTTCGATTAGATCAGGAGATATTACTTCTTGATAAGTCAGATTTATCTCCTTCACGTGTATCTCACATGTTTGAGTTGATCATGACCGTGCTTCACAAGATGGACCTGGTCCATGTCTGAGTTCTTTTGTCAGTCTTCAAAACTTCACTTGCTCTTGGGCCAACAGTATGGTTAAAGACAAAACTGTCCCTAAAGTCCCTTAAAGCTAGAGAATATGGAGGACATTTTTGTAAATAATTATTTTTCTTAAAAATTATGCAAAGCATTATAATTTTAGTACACCACACCAAACAATAGATAAGAAATAATATCTGCACAACTAATGCTTGCATTACTAACCCATGCATTACTAATCCACACATTACTAATACATCTTATTTCGCACTATTTTTATACACCCTACCAATCGATCCCTTAGTAATATATCCAGTTTAATAACCAATATTTTTAAAGGATTTTCAACCTTGTACTCAATTTCAAAGTTACCCGAAATAGCCTAACACAAGATAATATCACTGTGGACAACTTTCAAGTGCATTATAGCCATTGCTTTTCTAGTTACCCATTTCCTCAACAAGATTGATATGTAAGCCAACATAATCATACTAACAATATCATAGACAACTTATTTTCGATAATTCCTGGCCATTTAAAGTCCCCATCAAGAACAATAACATCTCAAGCTAATCCAGGTATTATCTTATAGTTTATCATCCTAACAACTTAACCAACCAAGCTTAAACACAATTAGCAGGCTGTTATTCTCACCTTATCTAATAGAACAACTTGAAATTTCAGCCAAATACAGCCCATAATTATCCTCAATGACAACACAACCTCAGAGAGGTGTTGTTCTTCACTAGAACTAACTTTTGATGTTGAAATATGGTGTAATCACTTCAAATCCTTATGGTATCTGTTTAGGGGGTTAGGAGGAGTGCAGGGACAAGTTTGGGTAAAAAAAAAGAAAAATAAAGGTCGTCCAAATTATTTTTAAAGTGAAGTAGGTCGACCACGGCCTAAGTGGGTCCCATTGGGAGCTGTTTGTGCAGTCTTGTGAAAATGCAAATATCTCTCTACTCCGATGTCGTATCGACGAACAATTTAATGGTTTAGAAACTAGACTCATAGATCTTCAATTTGATATGTAGATCATCCTGTAATTCCAAGTATATTAGGAGAAAAGCTCTGCTACATTTGACCTAAGTTTCAGCACATTATAAATGTAACTTGTGATAACCTTTGCCAACTTTTGTTCCACAACTCGCTTGACTTCAAAACATAACACAAGACTATTATACGACTAAAATAACTCATAACATAACCTACTTATCATGTGAAGAACCCTAGTCTCACCCCAAAGTGCATATTATAATATTCCAAACTTATCGACTTTCGATGAAACTTATTTTTCGTTTAGCTTCTAAGCTTTCCAACCCTCTTGGTATTTGTTATTCATGATCTTAAATATTTGTAATCTCCAAGGTAACATGATTAGCTTACTTTATGTACTTTCAAAAATGATCCCATTTCTGATCTTGCATCAATTGTCTTACGACGTACTCTTATGTACGAAATCATGGGCTGTAATACCTACCCACCCCACACCATTACCCCAACCCACCAACCCCCACTATCCCACCCCTACCCCACCCCACCTCATAAATTATATATTTTTCAAAAAAATATCTTCTACTCACTGACTAAGCACTAAAAAATATTTTTTAGAAATAAATTTGCACTCACCAACCAAACATGAGAAAATAAGTGATAAATTTGCTCATTTTCTAGAAAAAATATTTTTCAAGAAAATATTTCATACCAAACACACCCTGAGTCTATTAAATATTTAGCGGGGACAAAAAATGCTCACTTTCAATTGTCTTAAAGAACTAAAACTATCAGGAGTACATCCAAGAGTTTTAAACCCACCCTCATACATAAGTAGGGGTAGCAAACGGGGGCTCGGATATGGGATGGTAAAAAATGGATAATGTAAAAATAGATAAATATTCGACCCGACTCATATTTAATATGGATAAAAACGGGCTAACCGGCGGATAATATGAATATTCATATAATCCATGACTTCTTGAGATGATCATTTTTGAGAAAATTCCTAGTCTCCTAAACTTGAAGAATCCCCCAATTTTAGGCTTTACAAATGTAAAAGTTAAACTCATTAGTTATCCATTTTCTAAGTGGATAATATGGTTCTTATCCATATTTGATCCATTTTCTAAATAGATAATATGGTTCTTATCCGTATTTGATTCATTTTTAAACGGAAAAGGGCCTATACTACCCCTATTATTTACTAAATGGTTTACAAATACCCTCCGTCTACCTATTCGTTCGAAAAAGCACGCGACGTTATTTATATACCTAAAATTACCCCTATAACGACAGCAGATGTGGGCCCCACTTTTAATGCGTTGGCAATATTTTATTAGGCCACGTGGCTTCTAATTTCACTTCATACATATGGGTATAATATACCTATCCCATTTGTTTAACCCGCCCCATTAAATTCTTTCTTTTTTCTTTTCTCATTTTCATTATCTCTCAACACACCTAGTCCCACCCACCAGATTCCCCCTTCTTCTTTTACCTGCCTTGAAAAGAAAATCAATAAAAATGGCAGCCACAACACCACCCAAAAACTTCCAGAAATTTTACTTGTCCTATTGAAACAAAATGCATTTTAATGCATACAGTGAATGTAAGTTGGGTTAGCGAGGTATTGAACAAATTCCAATTCCAGCAAGAAACGCTGACGCCCATCATCGGGATCTTTATATACGCTTTTCTGCCTGCAAATTTCAATTGGTTAATTAAGGAAGATGCAACTGATTTTAACATAAGAACCCAAAGGATAGATACATGAGTACGGTGAGGAGACAGATTTAGCTGATTCATCTGTTTCTGGATTAGGAGTAGAAGCCATTCGCCAAACCCTAACTAACTTAGCCGAATCACACTACTGTCCAACTTACTTCTTGATTTTGAACCAATTAAAGTTCTTTAAAAAATTTAGTCAAAAAACTAGTAGAATAGGAAGAGAAAAAAAGAGAGTACAATCTCACGAACTTCTAAGATGAGTAGCTTGTATGCGCTCTCCTTCCACTTGAGCCTATGTTTAAGAGAATTTGGTAGGCTTCAATTTCTTCCAGCCAGTTTTCTCCAGTGAAACAGTCACAACAACACCCAAAAACGCATCACTATCAAAATCAAACCCTCGACTTTCTTCAAAACAAGATTTGAAAACTCACTTTCTACACCATTGGTGGTTGATTTTTGAGTTAGATTTCAAGGAGCCAAGTCAAGCGAGGTCTTTGGCAAGTTCTTTGGTTTGGGATTTCCGGTCATAATCCTCGTTCAGTCAAGTGCTAAGAAAGAAAGAGAAAAATAGTAAAGAAAAAAAGAAAATAATGAGGCGGGTCAAATAGATGGGGCGGGTCAAACAAATGGGGTGGGTATATTATACCCATATGTATTATACCCATATGTATGAAGTGAAATTAGAAGCCACGTGGCCCAATAAAATATTGCCAACGCATTAAAAGTGGGGCCCACATCTGCTGCCGTTAAAATGAGGGGTAATTTTAGGTATCTAGATAACGTCGTGTGCTTTTTCAGACGAATAGATGGACGGAAGGTATTTGTAAACCATTTAGTAAATAATAGGGGTAGTTTAAGCCCTTTTTCGATTTTTAAAAAGTTCATTATCCAACCCATTTTTAATGGATAATATGAGTGAATAACTATTTTCTTTTAACCATTTTGCCACCACTATACATAAGGGACCACAGTTATATTTTCTTATCTAATCTTGGAACAATTTGATTTTTGCTAAACATTGGAGGGCCAAATTGATTTTCCTAAGAACAATAAGGGTTACACACATGGCAAAAGGAATTACGTAATACGTCGTCGTTTGTTTTGCACTTGTCACAAAACCCTTCGGTAGTAGATTTATTTTTCCAATTTGGAGGAACGGAAGAGAGAGAAGAGAGGAGGTTGGAATTAGGGTTTTTGAAGAAGCAGCAGCAGCAATGGAAGGAATCACAGAGGGAGTGAATAACATGAGCGTTTCTGAGATTCAAAACCAAAAGAAGAATCGAATTCAAGTCTCCAACACCAAAAGATCCCTTTTCTTCTATGTTAACCTCGCCAAGGTTCTTTTTTTTTTTTTGTTTAAATTTTTTTTAATAGTTGTTTGTTTGCAAAATGGGTATTCCAGATATTCGCTTGTTTCTGATAGAAGAATTAAAGTGTAGATTATTATTTAGTAATTTGGTTCCCTTTAATGTATGCTGGGTTGTGGTTAGTTTTTTTCTAATACTTATTGAGACAATTGATAGGATTTTGTCTAATTTAGGATAGTCTGTAGGCATGTTAAATACCAAATCCTGGGTTTTGAGTCTGACAGTTAGATGTTTTTAATGGGATTGGTTTATTTGCTTTTCTGTTCTTTTTCCATATCCAATTTGAAGACAATGTGCTTGTGGGAGAAAATCGGAAAATATTTAGTCCATTCTCCTCTCTTTTTTTCTCTTCATGTTTTCATGCAAAAAATTATCCATATAGACGATACATATTAGTTGGGAATATGTTTTAACACTAGCACTTTTATTGTACTCCCTCCGTTCCAATTTATGTGAATCTGTTTGACTGGGCACGGTGCTTGAGAAAAAATAAAGTCTTTTGGAATTTGTGGTCCTAAACAGGTCAAAAAGGGTCCCAGAGTATTTGTGTGGTTAAAAAAGCTTCCCATTAATGGTAGAATTGTAAATTTAAGCTAAATTGTTACCAAATTTAGAAAGGGGTCATTCTTTTTGGAACGGACCAAAAGGGAAATAGGTTCACATAAACTGGAACAGAGGGAGTAGGTATTATGCTTTCTAGGAGTTGGTATACTTTTAGATAATATACAGAACTTCTAATACCTTTTATTTATATTTGCATAATATTAGCGTGAGATTAGTTCAAATAAAGTAACGTAGTTAGTGAGGATTGATATAGCCGATCCCTAGTTGTCTGGGATTGAGGTATCCTTGTTGTTTTCATGTTTTCCTGGGCAGAGATGTGTGACAATTCTGGCGAAGAACTACAACTTGTAATCTATAGCAATGTCTCAGATTTTTTATGCTGGAAACTGGATTGTATGTGATTGATGATTAGGTTAATTTGAGGCAAGAAATGCTGTTCTGTATTTGGATAAACATATGCCAGAAAAAGAACACGATGCAAATTTTAGCAGTCTGTTCTGGTTTTTCCACGACCTGAGAAATCAAGAACATAGCTGTGCGAGAGAACTGAGTCACAGAGGGTTTGCTTTACATATTTCCGATCTACCATCGAGGGTTGTGATGGGTACAATTTAAAATAATATTGTTCATAAAGTGGCCTCTTGGGTTTGGCTCATTAATAGAGTGTCTAGTTTGAGGCTCTTTGTGGATGGAGTAGGAGTCTTGACACATGTCACATCTTGTTAAAAGATGTTAGTCGTCTTATTAACTAGTTTTAAAGCAGTGTTGTCAAAGGCGCGCTTAAAGTGCGCTTAAGCCCTAAAGCGAGGCTCAAAACATGTTGAGCGCTTCGCCTCGCTTTGTGGATGCTTCAGTGTTGTGTCAAGGCTCTAAGACATACTTTTCCTTGCCAATGAGTCTAATCCCGAAAAGGTGATACTGAACAATTGATATTTCACTTTATGGACCAAAAAAATTTCAATTTTTTTTGTCCATATATTTGTTATTCATGCTTATAGTTATTGGTCTTGGACTACGTATACATATTTTTACTTTTCGCCGGTTGTGCCTTTTTTTATTAAAGCCTACGCTTTATTTGCACTTTGCGGTAAAAGCCCCAATAGACCTTAGAGCTTTTTTGCGCTTTTCGCCTTTGATAACACTGGTTTTAAAGTATGTTCTGCTCTTTTTGTTGGTATTAATATTGCCTAGTTTCTGAAATATTTTTGATTTTTCCTTCAGAGGTATATGCAGCAGTACAATGAAGTGGAACTCTCTGCTCTTGGAATGGGTAAATCCTACAGTACCTCATTTCCCTATATGTAGCTCTGGTTCTTGCTTGTAATTGGACATCATAGTTTTCTTTTATTTATACATTCATTCATTTTCTTTTTTTTTTTTTGGGG